AATTAGAAATCCACTATCATACATTACAAATGCATGTATTAACAAGTCTAGTAACAAAATCAATATTATTGAGTGTCTCATAGCTTTACTTCAACGTTAATGTAGAGGTAATGAAAGAACATTGACTGGCTTTATTGCGCATATCCCTGCTTATTGTAGCGTCATAGTCCGTTGCTAGTGAGTCGGTGGCACAGCGGTAGAATGCTCGCCAATCACATAAGTGGTTCGGGGTTCGATCCCCGGCCACCGACGCACTCCTTTACCTCGCTAAGCCAGCAGTAAAACTGGTAGAGGGGAAAGGTTGGGCATGAGGATAGCAACCCCATCCCGTAAAAATACACACTAATGCTGCCTAAACTTCAAGCCTCCAGCTTGAACGCCTATGTTCCACTGGGAACACAAAGGAATAAAAAAGCCGTTGCTATGGTGATTTAATGACAACTTATACCTTTTGTATGCTGGTTTTTAAATGAGATTTTGCATTCTGAAATTTTTTCTGGAGTAAGTATTATCGGTGGCATTATATTATTCTTGAACTGAATTACATTTGCTGCAGTTTTATCAGAAAACGCCGCTTGATACGGATGATATCTGTGCAGTGTAATGGAATAAAGGAGGTTAAACGTTTATCATTGAATTTTCATGAAATTATGCTGGTGTATTTTGGCCTATTTATTGAAACGACCTAATACCCACCGAATAAAGCAGGTGGAGCCACTTCAAAAAAGGGATATGTGCTATATAATCATCCAAGAACTATGGGTTAATGACATGTATCTCAAAGTAAACGTACAAAAATCAATAAATTTAACTTCAACCTTTCTCTACCCTGAATTACTTTACCTATTCATCAAATACGATTGGCGTGTGTTACTGACAAGATTTATAAGTAGTATGTAGATGAAGATATAAATAAATGTATGTCAGCTGCAAGAATATTGAATATCTGAGAGATGGATTTAATGAAGAATGCTTATAAAAACAATATGAAAAATATATGAAAGGAAGACTATATGTGCAAATTGTGATTCCACTATATGACAGACGTATTTTGCCTGCATCTATGTACGAGATTGCAAATAAATAATTCCTTTACCCAATTCTCTTGTCTTGTGCCATTACATAACTGACTAATTGTCAGGCATTTTATTTTCAAATATTGGTTTGTAGGGATTTGGTTGATTGGTTACAGGATTTCATCATGAGCTGACATTGGTTAGAGAATCATTCGAAAACCTGGGAGTACTGGACAGCTGTTTCGTCCTAGTTTGGGACTCTTCATCAGGATGCACCCACCACAGGAGGTTCGAACCCAGGACCTTCTGATTACAAGGCGAGCTCGTAGACAATTAAGCCAATGGGACCCGGTCCAATGGCCCATGAATTCTAACTTCTGCCAATTCACGACATAGTGCTACCGCTAACCAATATCTTCGGCGAGTATTTGTTCTCACACCCGACCTGCTGCACCCTACTGGTCACGACTTCCCACTGGAACCCCAGGTAACTACCTACCTGAATAGGGCCAGTCGCCAGTGAGCATCTCATTGATATTCAACTATTGGTTTGTAGGGATTTGGTTGATTGGTTACAGGATTTCATCATGAGCTGACATTGGTTATAGAACCATTGGAAGACCTGGTCATCTGTAGAGATTTCGATTGATCATGAATTGACTTCAGTTAGACAATCATTAAAAACCCAAGAGTACTTGAGAAGTCATGATTAGCAGGGTTCATCCGGTTTTTGCGTGACGACAGATACACACCGATGATTATTGGTCGGTGGTTGTGCTATACATATATATATCGCGAATTGGCATAATTTGGAATTCAAGGACTCCCTCGCAGTAACTGAATGGTCAATGAGCTCACATTGTAACCCAAAAGCCCTGGTGGATTATGAGTGCGTACTGTGAACCAATCCTAAACATGGATGAGACGGTTGTCATTCAGTATCCTCTAGTTCTCTAAGTGATGCCAATTCGTGATCATAATGCAAGACCCCTTTTATCATTACTGTGCGTCGGTGGCACAGAGGTAGAATGTTTGCCAACCGCGCAGGTGGTTCAGGGTTCGATCCCTGGCAACCGACGCGCTCCTTTACCTCGCTAAGCCAGTAATAAGACTGGTAAAGAGGGAAGGTTGGACATGAGGCTAGCAACCCCATCCCATTAAAATAAACACCACTGCAACCGAAACTCCAAGCCTCTAGTTTGAAGCCTTATGTTCCATTGGGAACGTAAAGGAATAAAAAAACCACACTAGTTGTAAGTAGATTGTGTAGAAACTACGAAATAGTATTAAATAGTCCCACTATTCACGAATGTACCACTTATGGAAACGGTAGATTACATTTGTCAAGAAATCACCGAAAGGCAATTGGACTTAGGAATTCCCTTGTGTAGCCTCAAAGAATTACTCCTTAAATGCACAATGAATGTTCACTTTGTCTTCAATAATTCATACTACCGACAAGTAGATGGAATAGCTATGGCTCCACCATTAGGCCCAATATTAGCTGACTTCTTTCTCGCAAAACTTGAAAAAGGGAAATTGAAAGACATCATCAAGGAGTTTGATATATATTACCGATATGTCGATGATACATTTATCTTAGCTGATGGGAATGTAAACATAGACGAATTGTTGATGAAGTTCAACAACGTCCACCCTTCGCTTACTTTTACTTGTGAAGAGGAGCAGGAGAATAAACTACATTTCCTGGATATCTTGCTAAGTAGGCGAGAAGATGGGTCACTTGGGAGAAGCGTGTATAGAAAAAGAACATTCACAGGGCAATACACACACTTCCTTAGTTACGTGCCCATTAAATATAAAAGAAATGTTGTTAAATGTCTTGCGAGAAGAGCAAGAAAGATATGTACGGATGACCTCCTACAAAAAGAATTTGAATATATTCATGATTCCTTGACGGAGATGGGCTATCCGAGTAGTTTCATAAAGAAACATATGCAAACATCAGAGAGAAAACCTGAGACGATGACTGCACGTAAAAAACCTCTATTTATTAAGTTACAATTTAATGGTGACTTTGCAAGTGAGATTTTATTCCAGAGACTTTCCAGGAGTATACGAAGAACGTTTTACGCAGCACACCTATGTTTGTCATTCTCTAGCCGACGAATGATTAGGACGCAAACGAAGGATAAACTAGATATTTTTGCCCCATGTATGTGCATTTATCAGTTTAACTGCACCTGCGGTGATAGTTATGTTGGGCGTACTACTAGACAGCTTAGCCAACGTGTTAGTGAACAGCTCCCATCGTGGTGGTTTGGCAAAGGACAGACAAAAACAATCCGTAGCTCTATTTTGTTACATTTAGTTGATAGTGGTCATGTAGTGGAGAAAACGAAAGCATTCAAGGTAATTCATCGCATCTTTCCAATAGACTTCATATTCGTCTACTGCACACAGCTGAGGCGATAGGCATTCGAACTATTAAGCGTAAACTATGCATTCAAAAGAAGTTCGTACAGTCATTATCCATCCCTTGGCCCATTATAACATAACCAACTGATGACGTCTCCACCACCCCTTACCTATATTTTCAAACCCTCTCTTATCATCCCCTAATCTTAACACATCTTCATTAAAAACGTGTTTCATTTACTTCCCTTACAATCTAAGACTACTTAATCGGTTCATTTATTTTTCTTAGCCTTTATCGACTACTTCAGTGCGTCGGTGGCACAGCGGTTAGGACGCTAGCCGACCATGCACATGGTCCGGGGATCAATCCCCGGCTGACGCACTCCTTTACCTCCCTAAACCAGAAATAAAGCTGGAAAAAGAGGAAAGGTTGGGCATGAGGCTAGCAACCCCATCCTGTAAAAATAAACACTGCTACAGAAACTTCAAGCCTCTAGCTTGAAGCCCTATGTTCCACTGGGAACGTGTAGGAATAAAAAAATCGACTACTTCTACCTGAACATTTGTTGTTTACTCATGCTGTTTTTCGTTATTTGTGTTATCACAGGTTGCCTCACTTTTTCATCCTTATTATTGATAAAACCATTATTTGGTTACAGGGTTTTATCATGAGCTGACATTGGTTAGAGGATCATTGGAAAACCTGGGAGTACTGGACAGTTGTTTCGTCCTAATTTGGGACTCTTCATCGGTACGCATCCACCGGGGTTCGAACCCAGGAACTTCTGGTTTCACGGCGAGCTAGCTCGTTGACCATTAAGCCACTGGGACCCGGTCCAATGGCCCATGAATTCTAACTTCTGTCAATTCACGACATAGCGCGACCGCTAGCCAATGTCTTCGGCGCGTATTTGTCCTCACACCCAACCTGCTGCACCCTACTGGTCATGACTTCCCACTAGAACCCCAGGTAACTACCTACCTGAATAGGGCCAGTCGCTAGGTCCTGGGTTCGAACCCCGGCGGGTGCGTACTGCCAATGAGTTCCAAACTAGGACTAGAGAAACAGCTGTCCAGTACTCCCTGCAGGTTTTCCAATGGTTCTCTAACCGATGTCAGCTCATGATGAAATCCTGTAACCAATCAATCAAATCCCTACAAACCAATACTTGAGGTTGATAAGTATTTGAAGCAGTTTACTCCATAGTGTTGAAGTAGTTTCCAAATTACTTCTCCGTCAACGCTATCGAACACCTTCTTTTCAAAGCCGATGAAGTTGAGGAGGAGATTTGACTGCCATTCTATGCTCTGTTCTACAATGATGCTTAGCGTTGCAATTTGATCCGTACATGATTTGCCTCCCCTGAATTCAGCTTGTTCCGACGGCCGGAGTTCTGAATCTAGTGCATCTTTTAATCTCTCCAGGATACACAATTAGTATTTTGCTTGGTATGGACAAGATAATGATTCCGCGCCAGTTGTTGCAGAGGCGTAAGTCGCCCTTCTTTGATAGTTTGACAAGGTAACCTTCCTACCAAACTTTTAGCAATACTGGCCATGAGAATATCACCTGACATCTCTGAATCAGAAATATCAAAGAAAGACTTAACTAAGAATAAAAATATATTTTATGACATGAATCAATCAATAAACCAACACATTTATGTTCAAAGAGGAATATGAACACAAAGAAAAACAAGATTATTGATTTGAAAGTTTTCTTGTTTCCCCTTTCATTAATATTCATCACGGAATGGATATTCAGAGTGATCAGCCCATCTATGAAAAGAAAAAAGTAAAATAGCAAAAATGTAGTGGATTACAACACAATATATGTAGAAAATAAAGAATTAAAATGCTTTTCTGTTGTCATAGATACCAGTACATGACAGGTAAGCGAAAAGCTGAACTATTAACATTGTCTACCTGAGAAGGCTTTATTCAATATGACGGAAAAATCAAACAATTATCTATATTAGTTGGAGGATTACATCATGAGCTGACATCAGTTACAGAACTATTGGAAAACCAGCAGGGAGTACTGGACAGTTGTTTCGTCTTAGTTTAGGGCTCTTCATCAGTACGCAACCACCACAGAGAGGTCGAACCCTGGTTACAAGACGAGCTCGTAGGCCATTAACCACTGGGATCCGATGTCAGCTCATGATGAAATCCTCCAACCAAACAAATCCCCTACAAAACCAATACTCGAAAATTATCAATATTGTTTACACAAGGATGAGTAATTGTCTAAAACTTTGTGAATAGCTTAGAAAATATTTCAAAATCTGGATAAATAAAGACCAGAAGAACTTTGAGGAGTGATGTGACAATAAACAGCTTGCACTACGACTTTTAGTTACATTATTAAACCGTTTAACCTCAATTTTTCACTAAAATTTAAAAACGAAATGGGACAATTGTAGACTTTTAAAGTACAATTTAGCGACTTGATTGTTATCATTCATCAGATATACGTTCATGAATTATTTATAATTCGCCATTCACCCTACGATCAAAAGCTTATTTTGGATTTGTTATACAGAAAATCGTTGTGTTGAATTGTTTGTTGTGACAATCAGTTCATTTACAACTTTCACAATGGAAGTATAGTGTGACGGGTAAATGTTATCAACAGAGTCTTCTGAGAATTTGTTACCAACTAGAGTTGACGTCTGATTTCCCACAAACTGGAAGATATGCAAGCGAAAAGCAACAAGTTGGCAGAAGAAGCATCAAAGATAGGACTTCAGGTGAACATAGAGAAAACAGAGGTGATGAAGATTCCTGGACAACAACAACAACAACAGACAACGATCAGCATATATGGGAGGAACCTGAAAGAAACTACCTCTTTTACCTACTTGGGAAGCATCGTCTCAACTACAGGCGGAACTGATGAGGATATCAAAGCAAGGATCGGAAAAGCAAGACAAGCTTTCACTACTCTCAAGTCTGTGTGGAGGTCAACAGCACTCAGCATCAAAACGAAGATAAGATCCGGATTTTCAACTCCAATGTGAAGTCAGTCAGTGCACTTACTATACGGATCAGAGACTTGCACTGCGCGTCATAAAGAGCATCTCAAACAAACTACAGACCTTCATTAACAGTTGTCTTCGCTCAATACTCAAGATCAGATGGCCGCAGAAAAGATCAGCAACAGAGATCTCTGGCAATGAGCGAACCAACCAGGAACCGATTGTGAAACAAATAGGCAGGAAGAAATGGAGATGGATTGATTGGCCATACTCTGAGGAAACAAACCATCAAGTGACATCACTAGACAAGCCATTGCTCGAGTGGAACCCGAAAGGGAAGCGGCGAGTTGGTCGTCAGTGCAAGAGTGACTTGGAGGAGGTGATGTGAAGAGGAGATGAAAACGTGTGGGCAGACTTGGAGCCAGGTGAAGACTCTAGGAGAGAACCGAACGCAATGGAGACGCACGGCTGAAGCCCTATGTTCCTCTAGGAATTAAAGGAAACAATAATAATAAGAGTTGACGTCGACTCTCAAATAAAAGTAATACTCACAATAAAACTCTGTTTCTATTGGATTTGTTGTGAGTTCTTGAAACTCACAATGAAACTGCTCACTTTTCCTCCCTGCTATTCTAAGAATTTGGGCTCAGTGTAGACTCGTTTCTGTGGTATTAAACTACACAGCCAAAAGTGAAACGTATGGGAAATATGCCTTTGGAAAGGACAATAATTTTTAAGTATCTTTACCTAGTAGACTGTGCTGCAAATGTACACCAAAAATTAGCAACTCTCTTTTTTAAGAGTAGATTTGTAAGAATTTCATTTGTTTTTCGAGTTAGACGACGGAGTGATAACAGTAAGAGAACCACTGAAAACTATCAGGGAGTGCTAGGTAGCTGTTTCATCTTGGTTACAAGGCAAGCTCGTATACCATTCAGCCACTGGGACTGAATTAAAAGGTTCATGAATCTTAACTCCTACTAATTCGTGACTGGCTACAGGATGAAGTTGCCTGGAGGAAGTAGTGACCAGTGAAGTCCATCCAGTTGGGAGTGAGGATGTAGTTCGCGCCAACGACACTGGTTGGTGGGTGCGCTAAAATCACGAATCCTAGTGGCTGAATGCCATACGAGCTTGCTTTGTAACTGGAAGGTCCTGGGTTCGAACCCCAACAGTGGGTGCGTACTACCGATGAGTCCCAAACTAGGACGAAACAGCTGTCCAGTACTGCAGTGCTGGTTTGCAATGGTTCTTTAACTGATATCAATCCGTGGTTTAACTCGGAAAACTCTTTTTATGCACAGCAAGTAAATTACCACTGATAAGTATAGTTACCTTCATCATCACACTGGAATAAGTCTTATAATATGGTGAGTAATATTGAGTCTAAGCGTTGAGTATAAGGTAAGGAAAGAAAATCAATCGATGAGGTTATGCAGCTACATCGATAAAGATGGTTAGTAGACATGTTGCGCATGCTGAGTCGCTGCCTTTCTTGTCGAGAAGTGTTATTTGACATAGGATTGACTGGGAAAAGAATTAGGAGTGGTCAAATCAAGACTTGGCATCAATTCATGAAATCTTTGACTACCAGTTTGCGCCATGTAGGGGGTTGTGTATTGATTGCCCGTTTGGGGTCCCTGGTAGGCTAAAAACCTATGGTTGCAGACTATTGGTAATGTGACTCAAAATCTGTGTTCTGAATGGCGGAGATGCATTCACTTTTTGTGATGTGCATGGAATGTAGCCAACCCTAAGTGCTATACTTCTGTGCAGAGTTCATTTTTGAAATTTGGTCAGTTAGACTTTCATCAGAAAATCTATGATAAAATTAAAACAATGGTAATGGGTAACGTGGCCTTGAACAAAAAAATTCTGATTACAACGGGCATATGATTCGTTTCTAATTACTTGTAAGACGATGTTGCAGAACTGCTCTTCACTATCTCGTAGTTTAAGGATAGGAAGTGAGATGATTGATTGTATTGACGAATTATGCATATTTGGGAATTCCCAAATCACCCCTAAATGAACTGATAACTGACAAATAACAAAACCTCAGCACAGATACAAGAGGTCCGTTTGTCCACTGTCATCTATTGGGCACAGGCATGATATTCGACTATGCAACAAAAGGTGTGCATACTGTAACGATAGAAGACGAAGACACGGTAGACGGATGTTTATTTTTCAATTTGTTATCTCTATGTAGCTAAATTATGTACACCTTATCCTCAACACACCATTTGCACAGATCTTCCGTGTTGTGCTACTTCTGGCCTTCCTTCATATTGTGTTTCTTTGTGTTCCTTTCATGTCTCCCATGTATCTCAACAACGCTGTATCGTTTGCTTTCTCTGACATCAAATGTTTCTCCCTGTTATGTGATGTTTATATGCCAATGAACATCTCTTTATATATACTACTGATAAACCGTATCAGTGGTACACGCCACAAAACTGTTTGATAGTATCGTTCAGAACAAAACCACCTGATGAAAGAATCAGTAATTCAAAATAGAATTTTAGATGGCCGACTTCTAATACAACTGTGGTGAGGGCTGCTACTAGCCAAATTGGTAGACAGTGTTTTACGTTCTTAAGATTTGTCGTGAGAAAATATGAACAAAGACTGATTCAAAACCGACCACAGAAGACTTTGCGTAGGCGGATACAGTTAACATATAGATGATCTGACATTCAAGAAACAGTCACAAAGAGATGAAAGATTAACTTTAAGTGAGAAACAACCAATGAAAAGACTGTGTTTGTTTGCTAAAATACTCTATAATAATGTACATGAAAATATATAAATATGCTTTGATTTCCTTAATGAACGATCTGTTGCCTGGCCCTTGTCTTCTATTGTTACACAACTAACACTCTTTCCGAAAATGAGAAGACATTATAACCCGAATATTAATCACTTCAAGGACACATATCAGTATCATTGGATTCTTTACAGATAAGTAGTGCTAATTCAAACTTAGCCTCAACATAACACAACCTGTTTACACTATAGCGGTAACTTCACTTAGTTCTAACACTATTCACCCACCTCTTTGGAACAGTACATGGTGACAGAATAATTATTTCAGACAAAATAGGCGGCCTGTTGCGTTATTTCCATATACAAAACGAAGCATCACAATCGTGATGTACGTACAGACTCCAGTCTTCTTCTCGGAATGCTCCATATGTGGACACGCGTTCATAGCCTCTCATACTTAAGTCTTATTCACTACCTTCACGCGACCAAGGTGTTCCTCACAAAAGTGAAAGATCTAATGAGAACGTCCCACGCTTACAACCGAATAGGTGGACATACAGACAGATCTACTCAAGAGAGCCGAAAAACTCTCACCCTAAACGGATGTTGTACATGGGGGCTCCAGAATCCGGAAGGGTCGAATGGTGTACAGACCTGTTTTGTTAACCACAAACCATGGGAGGGTAGCTTCTGACGCTACTCTACTGCCTTGCAGATTAGACTTCATGTCAAAGGCTCGGGGGTTGGGGGTGTGGCCTCTAAAGACAGCCACCTGCTTCGGTTTGCGCGTCCAGCCTCGCACAAACTATCAGATTCTGTATGGCGCACCTCTTGGTACCCATAATGTACACCAAGTTTGTGTCTAACAATCCACTATACATCGTAGTGATCACATACACCACACAGAACACAAAAGACTTACTTTAGTAATTTGAATTGACGTTCATTTAAACCCTTAGTATTTAACTCTATCATTTCTTCCTTTGACAGTTGGAAATCGAATACCTACAAAAGACAAAGAAACAATCCCGATTAAGTGTTATACTTTCATAATGTATTTTGCATCAATTGTCCAGTGAAATAACAACAACAACAACAGCAACGGTGAATACATTTCATGTAAACTGAAAGTAGCTTCACAGAATGCAGTTTAACACACATTTAAACATCGAGTCTATACTGTGGTGGTGTGATACAGATAATGTGTGTTCCAACGGAATGTTATTCTCACATGTTCCCACAGTTCAATTCGGCATTAACAACAGAATACGATATATATATATATATATCCATTTGAACATTCTATTTCATGTTAGAGACAGAATACTTTTCCCACGGTTATATACTGCATTGGCAACAGAATACTATATGTATATTTGAACACTGTGTTTTGATGTCGTTTTATGTAGACCGAAATCACACGCTCAGTGATTGGTCAACGCATATATAAACTGTAGGTATATAAACAGCGGTTCGATTAATGAAAAAATATACCTTGGCTTCCGTGTCTTGCCTTCTCTTGTTACAATGCTACAGTTACAAGCTACAAAGAAATACCTTTGTGTAAACAAACGACTACCACCAATACAAATCAATATATTAGATGGTTGGAGGCAATCGGCTACAGGAAGCCTTGCACCACTGAGCTCAGTGGCAACGTCTTTGACTGCAGCACTGGGTGGTGACGCGGATTCGAATCTCAGAAGGGACATGAGACTACCTCAAGGTTACAGATACATCTTGTTGACGAATGCCAACTAGCACGAAACCTAGGTCCAAGGCTTCTTGTGACCAATCGCCTCCAGCCATCTAATATCAACAATTCACAGTGCAGTGCATCGTGATGGTGAGTTATATTGCCAACTTGACCGATAGAATTCAAAATAATTGAGCAAAGAATATCCTTTTCAAAAAATTCCTTTCCTTGCTCTACAATTATATGCACATGTTTATATACATAGAATATTCTAGATTAGTAGTCAATAACAATATTAGTGTTTTTTAAATAATATCGATTTGTAAAGTAAAAAGGCCTTATTCTTACAAATGCAGTTCCTTGGGGACAACATCAGCGAGATACTAACACAGCGCCTTAGAAATGCGGTAAAAAGAGCATTCCCTGCTGCCGAATTAAGCTGTGTCTTCAAAATCAATCCTCTTTTGCGTTCGAAAGTATTAGACAAACTGCCTAATTTCGCCTCTTCCATGTGTATCTACCAATTTAACTGCTCCTGTGGAGCCAGTTACATAGGCCGTACAATTAGGCGTGTTTCTCGTCTATTTTTCGAACATCACCCTGCGTGGTTAAGCAAAGGACAAACAAAATCTATTCGTGGCGCTATTCTATCTCATCTTGTGGAGACAGAACACAAGATTGACGTTAATCATGCTTTCAGGGTCATTTACCGTATACCTATGAATCTCAACTTCGCTTTAAGAGTTCGACTACTAAATATTGCTGAGCTTGTGCGGATCCATATTAGTAAGCCTAATTTGTGCATCCGAAAGAAGTTAGTTCAGACATTATCATTACCTTGGCCATCTAGGTTTGAATGATCCTGAATTTTTGTGGAATTTTCCTAATTTTAGTTGATATTCTATTTGCTATTATATTTTTATTATTATTATAATTTAAGCATCTTTAATGAACTGTAATTCCATTGATCTTACTTTACAAATCGATATTATTTAAAAAAACACTAATATTGTTATTGACTACTAATCTAGAATATTCTATGTATATAAACATGTGCATATAATTGTAGAGCCAGAAGAGGAATTTATCGAAAAGGATATTCTTTGCTCAATTATTTTGTGTTTTATAGATGTCTGAATGAATATTTTTGATAGAATTCAGTCTGCACTAAAGAAAGGACTAGACGCACAATTACACTAGTTACTAGCTAGTGTCCAATCAAAGTAAAAATTAACATACCTTAAAGTTTTCTTCAATTCTCCTCGGTGTTACAGACTTAGGAACTACTATAAGATTCCTTTGAATCAAGTAGCGTATAAGAACTTGAGCCGGTGTCTTTTTGTGATGTTCAGCGATCGCCACAACCCATGGTTCAGTGAGCAGATTAGTTCTTCCCCTAAGAGAGAAAAAAACAAGAGAAAAATTAAAACAGAATTTTAATGAATCCCAAGTAGAAAAGCAAAAACATCAACTGGATAGTTTATTAACTTTCAGAGCTTTTTCCTACGTACCCTCTGCCCTCAAGAATTCGAAAAGTCTGGACGTTAGTTACAACAGAGAATGAATCAAAATCTCTACGTGACAACCTAATGGAAAACAGATATCCAAGAATTCTATTTCTTTCGCGTAAGACCACGGATTGATATCAGTTAGAGAACAAGTAAAAATTAGGGAGTACTGCGCAGCTGTTTCATCCTAGTTTGGAAATCATCGGCAGTACGCACGCACCAACTCTTGAAAATTAATCTGATGCTCGCTAGTGACTGGCTACAGGATGAAGTTGCCTGGAGTTCTAGTGAGAAGTAGTGACCAGGGAGGTCCATCCAGTCGGGAGTGAGGATGGAGTTCCCGCCGACGACATTGGTTGGTGGTCACGCTGAAATCACGAATTGGTAGAAGTTAGAATTCATAGGCCACTGGATCAGGTCCCATTGGCTGAATGCCATATGAGCTTGCCTTGTAACCGGAAGGTCCTGGGTTTGAACCCCAACAGTGGATGCGTACTGCCGATGAGTTCCAAACTAGGGTGAAACAGCTGTCCAGTACTCTCCGCTGGTTTTCAGTGGTTCTCTAACTGATATCAATCCGTGGTTTAACCTGAAACGAACAGATATCCACCCAGATTTATCAACAGAAACATGAGAGGAAAACCCTAAGTCGCTGAAGGTTGCAACTATTTCTACGAAAACTCTATGAACCTTGAGTTTAAAGGTGACATTGAAGCACCTCATCACATTACGTAATACATTTTCTAGAACATTGTTACCAGTATCCGATTGGTTTTATGATTTCTGAACACCTTACTTGGTTCACATGTACCAAAAGTGTGCCATCTTTAAATATTGTGTCAGTCAAACAGCACTACGCACTATATATAACTTATTTGCTTAGCAATTTTGGTGAAAGTATCAGCATTAATTCACCTTCTTATGTTGTTCTACGAGTCTCCTCTGCTTATTCAAATCCAAAAAGAATATTATGAAGTAACAGAAACAAAGATTTTGTTGTATGGTGCATACTACTGTTTGAATGATATAAGTAGATGAATACCGGTCAAGTCAATCAGCCAAACCGAAGTGATCTATACACCAGACGGTTGTTTTGCTCGTTTTTGGTCGAGTTCATCAACCATAAAATATTGATTAGAAGATATTTTACGGTAAATAATTCGTCGTACACTACTACTCACTATTTTTAATAATGCTCAAATTTTGATTCAGCGATTACAGTAAAATAAAAAACCTATTAGCTAAGAGAAATACTACCAGGTTTAACAAGCTAACAGTCTTCAGACCGTTTCATAGAGAATAAATGTTTCAATACAAACGTTGAGTTGAATCGCTTACATCCACTCCGTTTTCCCATACACTTAGGTTACAAAAGCTGTCACTAATTTGAAACAAGGCGAAGCATCGGGACCTGATGGAATGACTTCAGAAGTGTTTAAAGACGGTAGAGACAGTTTACTGTCCGAGTTAACTAAGGTATAATGCAGTGTCTGGGAATCAGAGATAGTCCCGTATGGCTGGCGTATGTCATTGATTATCCCGATATACAAGAAGGGAGACAAGTCTTCCTGTGATAATCACAGAGGGATTAGCTTGACTAACGTGGTGTCTAAAGTTCTAAGCTCAATAATCATGCTTCGATTGTGTAGTGTTCAAAAGGAAAAAACACGAGAAAATCAGGTAGGCTTTAGATCAGATAAAGGGTGTATTGACCATATTTTAACCCTTTCATAGATTCTGAAAATGTAACATATTTACCGGTGTCCGGCGATCGCCCTACTTCTTGATCTGAAGGTGGAAGTAGACTCCATCGACCAGAATATCATGGCAATGTTAGCCTGTGAAGGGAGTGTCGAAAAAGTGCATCACAGCAATCTAGTCACTCTACTCGAACTAATTCAGCCGTGTAAGAGTTTACGGAGAGTTGTCATCTGAAGTGATGACAACCAGTGGCGTCCATCAGGGATGCCCACTCTCCCCAATTCTGTTTAATTTCATCATAGATGTGCTAATTGAATTGACCCTAACTGACTTTAGAGACTTGGAGATTGACTTGTTACCAGGGAATATGCAAGTGATACAGGCCTCTTAAGTGAAAACGCTGATTAAAATACAAAGACTCCTGAACACATTGAGCAGCAATCTTCGAATGTTTGACATGAAATTTACTCCTATCAAATGTAATAAGATGCTACAGGATTGGACTACATCGACTGACTCCTAGCTTAAGGATAGGGAGTGAAATGGTAGAGCGTATTGGGAATTTGCATCAGCCAGTCCAGCGGGTTATCCACTGGAGAAATCTCAGCACGGATACAGAAGGCTAGTTTCGCATATGCCAGTTTACGCCGTCTCTGGCTTAGTAGACGTGATATCCGGCTGGCTATCGATCAAAGAACGTGTGTGCTGCTTAGCAGTTCACTCCGTCCTCCTTTATGGCTGTCTGTGAGACATGGCCATTGAAAGTGGAAGACATGAAAAGGCCGGCTAGCTGTCTTCGATCATAGGTGCTTGCGTTCGATCTCCCACGTTAGGTGGTATAACAGTGAGAGCAATATTGAGTTGGCTAGGCGTCAAGTGATAGGTAAGGAGGGGAAATCAAACGACGAGGTTGTGAAGTTACATCGATTGAGATGGTCAGGGCATGTGTTACGTCTGCCTAACCATAGCTTTCCTCGACGGGCAATGTTAGCTGACATACGATCGAGGTTGGAAAAGAGCTAGTGGTGGTCAAACCAAAACATGGCTGCATCAGTCAATGAAATCCACAACAGTTAGTTTAAGCCAACCACGTAGGGAGGTGTAGACTTCCTGACTGGTTGTGGTCCTCGTGATGGTGAAAACCAATGGCTGGAGACAATTGGTGACATGGTTCAAAATCGTTTCATTGCCGCGGTAGATGCATCCACTCCTTGTGATTTATAATATCCAATAAAACTATGTTTTTCCGTATTACTATTCTTTTTCCCTCACTCACACATCTGTTTATTATCTCTCTCTTTTGAATCTCTCTTTACTCTCTTTTCTTGGTTTGTGTAGTACATGAAGGGAGAATGGTAACTCGAACTGCTGAACATCCATGCAAAGTCCTCTGTTGAAACCAGTCAGTCAGTCAATCAATTTTACCACAATTGTTGTATAATAAATCCTCACATACACAAGGTATACAGTAAACAACACTGTGTCATTGCCATGATTTTTATCCTACTGAAGATGTGGACTACTAGTTTAGGCACTCGGCTTTCAGACAATGAATCCTATGTTCGAATCCGTCTCTGCCTATTTTAGCTTAGGCAACTAAGTAGTCTAATCAGCTCCCCTCCCCCAAACACAATATCTTCTGCTCACAGTCTGGCAAATGTAATTTTGTTTCATGTAATAGAGTTCTAATCTGAGTTGTAACGCAAGGAAACAATTCTGTATCTGCTATGAAAAATGGGCACAAGCATGAACACACAATAAGTAAGAATGAATTTAGCTAAATGCAGAATGACTGATCCCAATCGCCGTGGATACACCAACACACAATAGGATGGGACAGAGCTAAAGTCCTCAAAAGTAATATAGGCAGGTGGAGGGATAGACTGACCACTGAATCTTTGTTCATCGAGTCCACACCTGCCAAGTGAGATAGGAGTGATACGACACAGATACCAGATATCATATAGAAAATGTTACTACCAATAAAATTAAAGGATAAAAAATAATGGAACTACGCAAACTAAGTCTGAAGGCTATGTGAGCACCTCGATAATAATTATGAGCAACAAATTGTACTCGAAAAGTCACCACTAGTGAAGTCTTGTCTGACATAGGTTCCGTGCTTGTTGGCACTCAACAGTCAGCAAGGCATATCTGCAATCCTGAAGGAATTCATATCCTTCCTAGGATTCGAACCCAGCTCACCCAGTGCACTGGTCAGAGATACTACCACTAAACTATTCGGGCTCAAGACGGACCTCCTACAGGACTGTAATGGATACTTTGATGAGTAAACGGAACAAGAAGAAGAAGAAGAACGGCGAAAACTTACGGTGAATGGGCAGGTGAACCGAGAGGTGCATATGCAGTGACAGTCATACCAATTGATTGTGCATATTCAACCAATTTAATATTTGGAAAGTTTGCATGGATTTCAATCTGCAGATTGACTGGTTTAATTCGACAATGTTTAAGGATATTTTCAATTTGTCGTTTATTGAAATTTGAAAGGCCGATAGATTTTACTAAACCTTCATCGACTAATTTTTCCATTTCCTTGAATAAATCAAAAGCATATTTGATATTATTAGATATGCAAAATTAAAATTCATCAATGTTGAACATCAAGTCATCACTATTGGACTGATGAAAAACACGACTCTAGTAAAAGCAACAAAAGTGTCTTAACTAACAGGAAATATATTTAGATCTGTTATAGGATTTTTGAAAAGTATAACGCAAGTTCAATTTTATGTATCTGTGGTGAGAGCTGTCTGCTAGCCAAAATTGGTAGACACCAATTTACGTCAATGTTTACGTCCCAAATCTTGGTCATGAGAAAAAGCAAGAACAAAGACTAACCTTGAGGAACTCAACAACCAATCACAGCAGACTTTGCGTGGGCGGATACGATTAGCATATATATATATATGAACGAACTGTCTAAGAAACGGCAACAAAGAGATGACAGAATAACCTTCAACAGGAAAACAACCAATCAGAAGACGTTGTTTCTCTGCTAACAATAACGAATAATAATGTACAAAAAAATCTATAAATATCTGTTGATTTTCTTCTGCCGTTACATTATCTACTAAGCAGACGATAAGACCAACCAATAGGGATTGTTTAATGCACATTACAAAACGACTCACTCATAAATGAATAGATGAGTTCGATTGCGTATATGAGAGGCAACTAGACATTGGGCTTTCAACAGTTGATACACTCCAGAGTAGCTCCATAAGTAAGGAAATCAAAGCAGAATGATACAGCAATACACTAAGTATACATCTCATCATGCAGCCTGCAGCGACAATTAGTAACTCCATATACTTGCATCATGGGAGGCTTTCCTCACGTTACACCAAACTATGGTGTATGCTAGGACAGATAGGCAAAAAATGACCGTAATACTTCTTAATCATTCTCTAACTTTTGAAGCCATTTACCTTATCGCCCACATCATAAGGCAAGTTATTTGGCACCGATTACCGACGACTTTCATCTGTACATAATGATGAGTATCGGTTAGTCAGTTCGTTAGGACTTCAACCACATTACCAGTGGATTTTAGGTCCTCATAAAATGAGTAGAACGTACAGAAATAATTATAGAACACGACCTGAGCAAATACCTTTGTTCCTCTTGTATACAAATGAAAACTCATCTGTGATCTGATATTTCGTGCTACAAAAATCTGCATAACCGACACCCTAGACGATGAAATAAGCAAAATAGAAAACTTTTTATTTACGAGAACGGAAACCCCGAAAAAGGTTTTTTTTAAAGTATCCATGAGGAGAACAGATAGAAAGAAATGCCTGCAAACTGGGCAGAAGAAGAGCATATACACGACTTTACCGTTTAAAGGAGACACAGCAACTGAATTGCTGGCATCGAAACTTCGAAAAATAATAATTAAAGCATCCTTTGCCATAACATTGTGTTTGCAATCTGCCACTCATTGTATGATTCCACCGTAGGTGAAGGATAAGCTACCGAGTCTGGCTACTTACTTCAGAGTGTATTTATATAATGTAACTGTTCGCGTGATGATAGTTACATATGTAGAGCAACTCAGCAGGCTCACCATCTCCTTCTTAAGTACTGTCCAACGTGGTTAGGTAAAGGAGTTGTAAAGTCAGTCAGTCAGGGGTTCCATATTAGCACACCTTGTGAATACGGAGCAGAAGATCGATAAAAATTCAGCCTTAACAATTCTATACAATGTGACACATCAACTCCCTAGGTTTGTACGTCTTCAGTTGCTAAACATAGCTGAGACAGTTGCCATAATGATTTTTTAACCCAATCTCTGTGTTCAGATAAAGTTTGTTCAATCTCTTCCCTTCCCTTGGCCTTCATCCTCCCCCAATCTAAAATAGTTATGTCTCCCGCTGACACAGGATAACTCTAAATATTATCGTATTATTTTATTTTTATTTGTAATGCTAATTTTATTATCAATATCATGCTGTGCTTTAGTTATACATCTTATTCCCGGTTTAACAATTTGTCATTACTATTACATTATCTAATCGCTATGTGACAATAGTCATTCTCCCCTCTATCCCTATTAATATACACATTCTACCTATACACTCACCATTACCTAAATAGCACAAACACTTGAGTGATTCTTTCCTTATTGTTATTACGATCACCTTGATTGTTATCCAATAATCCGTAACCCTGAACTGTGGTCCTACATTTCATTAAACCCCATTAATTTAAATGCCTATAACTAGTATTTAGTCATTATGTAAATGTAAAGCCTGTTAGGAACTTACCGACAATACGGATTTGTTTAAATCGTGTTCAATAATGATCATTATTTTTTATTTGTTTATTTTGATCATAGCTTGAAACCACACAGTACTTTTGGTACAAGTATGAAATTTTCAGCATGTGATATCGGTAACCCCAATTTTTCAGGCCGCCCATTGATATCTGGTGTGCGCCGGCAGGGGACCGATATCCCGACCATGTGTGCATGGACGGCGAGAGTCCTAACCACTGTGCCACCAACGCACTTTATAATGTAAAATATTACCAAATTTCACAGCAAAACAGAAGTTACATCAAATGCTACAATATTGTCATGAAAAAGTGCGTTACAATTTAAAAATATAAAATATATATATTGATAAATAACAAACCTTCCATGTTTTTTCATGAGGTACATTATCTAAACAAAGCTGTCCATCTTCTTTTGTAGGAAAATTTCCTTTACCAGGCTATAATAATAATAATATTACTAGATGAAGAAAGCTGTACAGGTTTAGCCTTACTTCAAATGGAACCGGCCAGTGGATCAAATACAAATCCAAATACTTTACACGTAAATTCTTCAAGGTAGTTTCACATCCTTTTCTCACATTTTCTGGACGGAAAAATGTATTCCATAACTAGGTATATGGTAATATAAATCATCAATATCATATGAGTGAGTTACCTTAGAAGTGATAAAAATATCCTCCCTTTTTAAATTGAGTTTTTTCATTGATTCTTCTAATGCTTCACCTATCTCTGCTTCATTGTTATATACATAAGCACAATCTAAATGACGATAACCAATTTCTAAGGCTTTTTTCACAGCTGCACCAACTTCACCAGGTGGACTCTGTAAAAGTACTATGTAGAGAGAATTTTGTTTTGCTTACATTCCATGTGCCAAGCCCAAGGATAGGTATGGAATGACCATTTTCCATCTTTAGTGAGTTCATATTTGAACTAGAATATAAAATAAATAAATATATTTTGAAGATTATTGTACGCTGAACTGAATGACTGTAACACAGTATTAAACTATATTCAGTTAAAGAAATGGAATTGTGATAACTAAATAAGAATGCCACACTCTGAAACTAACCATTTGGCATCCACATTAATGTCTTATATTTACAGTCTGGTTTATTTTTCCCTTAAGTTGGTATAAATAGAACACCAACACTGGAATGCACAACTTCGCACGCTGAGCAGTCGCCTTCCTCGACAAGCAATGTTAGCCGACATTGGACTGGGTTGGAAAATGGTTAAGGGTGGTCAAACTAAAACCTGGCATCAGTTCATGAAGTCTTCGTTTAATTAGGTCACGTAGAGAAGTGTAGGCTATCTGGCTGGAGTCCTCGGGATGCTAATGGCTAGTGATACGGCCCAAAATCGTTCCCAACGGATGGCGCAGATGCATACACACTATAATCTCCCATAGCCACTAAACCGTCATGTTTTTTTCCATGTTACTACTCTTTCTCCCTCACGTTTCTATCGTTTTGAATCTTTTTTCTCTATCTTTGGTCTACCCTTTGTGTGCTATATGGAGTTTGGCAACTTAAATTGCAGCACTTCAGTCCAAAGTTCTCTGTTGGACCTCTGTCCCTGTCTGACTAAAAATCAAACTGACTATTATCAATATTTATTGTAACATCAATCACCTACATGTTCATTTGTCATAAAAAAACACTACAACCATAAGTTAAACGTTAACAATACAGATTAATATGTATGGAATATAAATCAACGACCAAGTTATCTTTAAAAGGCACCATCAATTCTAAGTCAACAGAATCTTTTGTTGACAGTTTTCATGGTGTACAGCTGTAATCCACATAAAGGTCATACTTCATTCTGTAGGCGGCTTAGGCATATGCAGTTGTGAGTTGCCATCAACTCGACTTAGTTGTTCTGCTTTATTAGCAAAATGGCACTGGGTATACTTAAAAATTAAAGTATTGATTTAAGTCAGATGTAAGTCGGTTGTTCAGTTTATTTCGACTACGTGTATACCAAAATGTCTGTGGGTAAGAGTAAAGATAAAAGTACACGCTTTAAGACTGTCCTTTTTTACCATCCCGGCCGACAAGTGCCATCTTGTCGTGCCGCAGTGACCCAACAAGCTAAACTGGCTGGGACTCATGATTCCGCAGGTCCTACTATGTCAGGAAGATTGTTTTCATAGGCAGTTAAACTAAAAGCAGTTACTATGGACTCCAGAATCCAATCGGATCAAATGGCGTATGAACGTGTATTGGTCACCGGCAAACATGGGAACGTAGCTCTTGACGCTGCTCCGCTGCCTTGAGGATTAGACTCCAAGTGAAAGGCTCGGGGGTGGTCCCTTAAGACAACCACCTGCTTCGGTCTGGGCGCCTGGGCAGTATCTCAACCCTCACACAATCAATGAAATGTTGTGGCGCATCTTTTTGGTGCCATATTGTACCAAGTTTCTTTGTGTTTAAATAAAATAATAAAATAAAACCTTTTTACCATGATATTACACTAATTATTAGTCAAGAAAACTTTACTAGGTTGTCGATTTCGTCCAATTTAGGTTTTTTTTATCTTTTCTCTCCCACATCTACCACTGACTTAGATCTGAAGCTCTTTTTCTCTTAAGGCTTGGCAGTTGCTGTTAACTTCATCGGGACCCTTATACGCCTTACCTTCACTTCCTTTATGATAAAGCTATCCACCATCTCCAGTTTTATTAATCTAACAATCTAATCCTTTTCATTACCTTCAATTTTATAAGATATGAAAAGTAACATCATCCACAACTTAGTAATGACATTTGTCTGGACTAGTGTTTTATTAAGTACATATAACGATTCATTACAGAAATTATGATAGTAGCAATAATTTCATTTGCAAACGGTATGAAAAGTGATTCTGTATACGTACACCTAATTTCACTAAAGATGATAATGACATGTGATTTTGGAAATGCGTAAGCGGTAGTTACCACCTCCCGGTTGCCCACACTGTTGAAGTTGATTTTTCCTTCAGTCACGTGAAACACAAAGAGCATTAGTGTTGCGTGATCTCAGAGCTAAGGAGACAACTAATTGAGACCGACCACACACGGTGTGTTTGAATTCCTTTTTGGAATTGTGTCCGTATTTACGTCTTACAGCCTGCCGGCTAAGGACCGCTGCAAGGTAAGTCGGGATGTATAATTATTGGGGTCGATCTCTCCTAATCACACTCCTCTCCAGAGCGGAGAAGTAGCAATCCGGTGTGCTGGTCATTTGAAGAAAATACCTTACTGCAGTTACATCTTCACTAGCCAGTAGTACTGCTTCATCCATACAGCTCTTGACATGGTACACACAAATGAATGACACTACGTTGATGACTACCCTTAGTCTAGCCGCTATCCGAACAAACTTTCTGGTGCGGTACGTCCCGCAAGAACACTAACTCTAGTCAGCGTACCTCGTTGGGTCATTAAGACATGCAAGCCCGACCCTCTCGTCGGGGTCGGGAATTTCACTAAATAAACTATTAACACATCATTTATCATGTTCCGTTGATTTAGTGGCTGTGGCCTAAAATCTACGGCAAAGTTCAACAATAACGTCCCAGGAGTGCGAACGCTCCAATGACCTTGAACGCATGCTAGTCGTTAGCTAACGGCACCTGTCATTATCATAGCTGAAATATCAACGCTATTCACCGGCTAAGCAGCAAATTTCACCCAGATCACGTTTTAAAGTACTGTTTCGACAATGTGTTAATAGCTCAGTAGGGTTGGCATTAGGGTTAGGGTTATGATCAAGGTCATAATTAGCATTAGGGTTAGGTTTACGGTTAGGATAAGGGTTGTTATTAGGGTTAGTGTTGAGTTTAGGGTTAAGGTCAGGATTAAGGTTAGAAACGATTAGGGATAGATTTAGAGTTGATGTCATTGATTTTAATTTGTTTTCTTATCCACATTTTCCTGGTAAGTAGTCGTCTATCCTCTTACCTGAAACCATAATAATTCAACCGAGGGCTTTTGGGGAAGACTGTACAACAGGATAAAAGAGATAAAAACAATTCACAAAAACAGCTCATCTTTAGTCACCTCGGTGAATATATGTACAGAAACCAGTCTAACTTAGCATCTGATACTCCTCATTATAACTGGGACGTATTTTTAAGTCATGTCAGACAAAGATATCCTGTTTAATGTGTTTTCATTCATTTTCTTGTAAATATGTCATTTTCTGTGCAAAAGTCACTTATTTTTATGATTGGTCGGCTGAAGGTCACTCGTGCGTTTGCATCCCTTGGGACGCTATCGCTGAACTTTGCCAAATCTGCAAGGCAACTGTTGTGTTAAACAGTTAAACCTTCAAATATCATACGCATAACGTGTCACATGGATCAATCAACATCCTGCATTTATTGAATGCTTCAAGAGGGCACTATCGATATACTTCTGTAAACGATCACTCATGAACTTCTATATACAATAGGAAATAATCTAACATTACACATCTCGGAATCATTGGTTTATTCGTTTACACTGAAGTTTAGTGAAATAATGTAACAGGTCAATACAATTTGCATAAGAAAGCATGTTTACACACCAAATATGATGTGTTAAAGTATTTCACTTATGTCAGTACATCCATTTCTGTTTAACAGATGTGAAGAGACTTCATATTCAGCAGGAGAATTCCCTAGTTATTTTGTAAATCTTCACGTCCAAAACCAGAGAGAGAATCAATTTGAAATACTGATCCCCTGGACTTTTACACTTTTTCATAACACATACTTGAGACGGAGGAAGTTTCGGTAGGATTTTGTTAAAACTCCATTAGAAACAAAGCAGTAAGAGAGTAGTCATGGGAGAGTGAAAGCACGATTATGTGGAAATAATCGTTAAACTGAAAATCGATTTCATAATCAGTCAGAGGTTAATTGTATCCCGAAAAAGCATGTATTATAATTACTTAGGTTGAACCATATTCTTACATTTTGTATATTTTACGTTAGTTACACCGAAACACACGTATGTTTCTCGGAATGACTAATTTATCATACGAGGAAAGACTAGACAGTTTAAATCCCTTCTCACTGTCATACCGTAGGCAGAGAGGAGATTTAATCACAATGTTTAAAATTTAAAATAATGACTACGGACCTGATCTATTCTCTCTTTTCCTTCCCACCAGGTCGGAACACCTTAGAGGACATAGCAGGAGAGTTCAAATGCCAAGAAGAAATCACATTGCTGTTGAGTACTGGTTCTCACATCGAGTCATAAACTCTTGGAACCGACTCCCAGAAGAAGTGGTGTCTGCAACCTCAACTGATTCGTTCAAGAAGGGTTTGGACAACCACGGAAATTTACTAGAAAAGGATTAACATAGGCTCCAAGCCTTCTATCCCCAACCAATAAATCTAAAATCTGAAGTCGATTTTATTCCTTGGATGTCTTGGAAAAACGGGAGCTAATTATCAACCTGTATGCAGCAACTCAGTAAGGCCAAGCCTCTTAAATTCAGTGGAAATTTTCTTCTATAATCCTAAGTAGAATAAGAATTTCGAACCAGATGGTAGATGAGGTTTCCGAACGGTTGAAAGTACGGTGTTTAGCATGCTTACGGCTATCCTAATTCACGAAGATCGAATCCTCAAAGGAAATAAAATATTTAAGGCGTTTTGAGAAGTCATGTCACATTTTACCACACATGCTGGCAATTTCCCACATATCGTATGTGCCATGCGCAATCTCCGAAATGCCGAATCAAAAGGCATTTATTGTTTAGAGACTGAAGTTTAATTCTGGGTAGATAAGTAATGACTTTGAATACGCAGCATGTTTAGATAACTAAAACATGCTTATTAAGAGAGGGACTTACCGTATATTTTACTTGATTTTTTAAAAATGCTAAGAGGTGACCAGAATTTAAAGAAGGTCCCAAGGTCAGTCCTCAGTATCCAATATATCCAATAACCAATATCGTTTCAATTGCTAGTATAAACCAATTTGATTTCTTTGTGCTCGTTTCTTGATTGTGGGGTAAAAGGTCCTGATCTTCGGTGAATTTATGTGTAGTTCGTCCCGCCACTCGACTGTCATAGCTTTGGTTGACTCCAAAAGGAGTAGTTCTGTGATTAATTATATGTTGTTTGTAGTATGCGGTGTGTTTAGACTGTTACTACTGTGAATGGAGTTGATCGTTTCACCAGTAAGTCCTCCGGTGTCGTCGTAGACAGAAAAGAGGTAATAATAATAGATATAAAAAGTGTAGGTTATTCAGACTAAAAGACAGAAAAAGAAATAAAGAAAACGTAAAAACAGACAGCTAAGTAAATTTGAAGTTGATATATATACATAATATCAGTATCAATAATAAGTGTAGTAGTTGGAGTTGTCAGGAGAGTAAGACAGGATAGAATGTCAAGAAGTGAAACGACGAATTTAGTTGTCTACATCCGAATGGTGTATGGGACTTTAAGGGGATAGGCATTTTGACGCAATCCTTGTGTCACGGCATGATTGGCCAACCTTCTCTCCAATTTCTTGTTCCTATAAATACATGCCTACCTCGAATAGCCCGGCTGATAAACTGTGAAACTATGAAATTCCCATCCAATTAATCAATTTATATTGTCGATATTATCGCTTAGCATCGTGTGCCGGTCTTCAGTGTCTAAAACTACTGATTTAAGCTAAAGATATGCTTTCAGGCATCCACACTCTTTGGGTAAGCCGTCGTTTTGCGTACGGTTGTTTCTTGGGCACCCTCTAGTTATCTTGGTTGACTTAGAGTGTACTCAATATGTATGTATGTACTCAATGGTACTATAGTACATCCACGTTTTCACGTTCTGCTACGTGTTAACACTGTACACAGTTAAAGATGAACAACACTGTATGAAGAAGCATAAGTGAAATCTTCAAAAGATGTATTTTAACTAAATCAAATCAAATCAGTAATACAATGGCAAATACTCCACACCTGTAAAATTAGTATCTGTAAACGTATAATATGCGTACATGAATTAGTTTTATAAGCGTGAGGTAGAAGTTAATATAGGAGTGCTACAGACCACTAATCTCGACGGACATTATCACAGTTCATCAGTCACTATTACCCCAACCTCGCCGACTGTGGGTTTCATTAGAACGCCAACTAATTAGGCATGACTTTGTGCCTGGCATATTTATATCTTATAGGCATGCAAACGTTACTCACTGTTATTATTATTCATTGGACATTTTATACTATATGCCATTGTGGTGTGGTATGTTTTTTCTTTGCGTGTGGGACAGTTGTTGTTTTATTCATTAATTTTGCTTAACTGTACCACTTTCATATCTCAAAAACAGGTAAAGTTTTATCCTGGCTCACATCTGTTTTAACTACATTAAGGTCATCAGTGTTGATAGTGCAAACAGTGATATCTGTATGCAAAATAAATCCTACTGCTATGCGTAATATTTCAACCTTAAACCAATAAAGTTTTACTTCATACACTATTTTGTATTTTGTGTTAATTAGACCGTTTGTGCTCCAATGGGCTGTCGTGTACATCCCTTTGAATTGACATTTTGTGAACTGCGAGTTAACTTTGGACTCAACTAAGGTATTCCTGATGTTTGGACTCCGTATAGCTTCATATTTGAAAGCTTGTACCATGTTTATCTGATACATATGGTTTAATACAACGATAATTTTGCAGGTCTTCAACATTCTGTTATCAAATTAATTCTGTCCCGGAACCATTTGGTTAGTGGTATTTGCATACGTTTAGTTTTGTCTGCGTCCTCAAAGGTAAATCGCGTGGCTTTTGTAACAAATACAGTAACATCACTGTCTGGCAACTTTGGTTCTGAATTGTGATTCATACATGGGACGATCAAACTATTGTCCTGTCTTGGCTTTCTAAGGGTCGTCTGGGCATATGCAACCAGCACATTACTGGCTGGATGATATAAACGCGTACTGTGATATATTCGTGTGTTGTATGATTATTGACAATCTCCATCTCCTAAATTATTGTCGCCATTTCGTGTGGGTGAACTTAAGGCTGAGTGATTGCTTACTCGTCACCCATCTGTTCTAAATGATTACTGTTTCACTTGGTTGATGCGCATATAATTTTGTTCCTATTCTGTTGTCAGTAATCCTGTATATTCACAAGCACTTGACAGCCGCGTTGGTTAACTATTTCCTGCAGTATAGTATGTACTTATAACAGAGGATAGTTTAAGCCGCATAGTTTCCCAAAGACAACGAGGGAAAATATCGTATTCCTGATATTACATGGTATCGTTCTAAAAACTACAGATTCCAACTCAGACCGTGTTTTGAAACCGTACAAATACAATATCTGGTAGCGCCTGACTCCTTGAAGTTTTTATACCATGCAGAAGCAGATAACAAGTCAAAGAGGCCGCCATTAAACGCTGAGTCAGACTCACGAAAACAAGTAACCAGTTCACACTGTTAACATGTTACATAATAATCTTCATACTCATCTCAACGCTTTTCATAGTCGCTCAAATTTTCTAAACTTTCTCCCCTTCAACTATTCTTAATCTTACATCAACAGTCTTCACTTTCATACTCGCAGTTTGATAATGTTACACTGATGTGAAATATCCTCCCGACGTCGACAATGTTTCAAACCAATCACCAGTAGCTTATTTTATTTCACGTTAGACGGCGAATTGCAATCAGTCAGAAAACCAAGCAGTTACCAGTCAGCGATTTCAAATAATAGCGGCCTTATATACATCGAATTAACAGGAGTTAGAATACATGGGTCGGCCATCACATTGCGTCTCAGTGGTTGGATGGTCAACTGGCTCATCTAGCAAACTGAGGCTCCCGGCATCGATTCTCAGTGGAGTAAGCTGTCTACTGTTAAAGTGTCCAGAACTACGACGAAGACACAGCTGTCCAGCAATTTTACTAGTTTTCAGTGGTTTCTCCAAATGATGTCAGCTCGTCATCTAAATTTTTCCTACCATGTTCGATAGACTGAATGTACACACACAAAAGATTTTATACATAATCGTGGTTGCATCCAGACGAGCCTCATAGATGGACCGCTCTTAATTATTATTCTTTTAGGTCTAGACGGGTATTTTCAAGTAGTAAAAGACCCCGAATGGGAATATCAATTCTTATCAAAACTGACATTCACTGATATTACTACTCATTTGTGTACATTTCTACGCAGATGTCGATGAACTACAATCATTGTGCGACAGCCTGTAAAACCTGCCTGTTTCCTATGCCTTGATAGCCAGATAGGTTGCAGTTCGACTGCTTACGCAAATAAACTACAGCCACATTGAAGCAAATACCAGTAACCAGTCGTAACTGGAAACCCACGCTTTAGGGTTGTTTAGTTCCAGTTGAAACCCAACGTTGAGAGTAACAAGAAAATTCTGCATTGACCACAATATATACTAGAGTAAAACCGTTGGGGCATTACTGTTGTTTCAATCCTTGCTTACTGAGTAGAACATAAGCTTCAAGTCTTTTAGAAGTCTTAGTGGCGATGATGTGGTTCTTAACAAGGTGGAGTTGCTAACCTCATGACAAAACCTTCCTCCTTTTCAAGTCCAATTGTCGGCTAGTACACTAGGAGTGGTTGCAGAATGCGTTTACCGGAAATTCAACTATAAGCTCCTTCGTCTCTGATGGATATTCCATCACTGAATCGATGACACACAGTCTAATGACTATGAATAAAGTGAATGTACATTTCGAAGTACCTCCTCTTACTCACAATTCTATTATATTTGAATCAACTTTAGTTTGCAACCGACAGAAACGAAAAAGGTCGAGAAATAAAATACCATGAACACATCACTATAAAACAGTATTTATAACAGTGCAACATTCTTCTTAATAGAGGAACAAGGCCTTGATACCATACACTTCTTACAAAGCTGTGAAGAACAAAAATCATAGTGCCTACAAAAAAGCACACAGTATGCGTTGACACTACCCGTAGTAGAGTCAGTGTCTTAGGGTTTCTAAAGCTTTCATAATAATCTTAGCAACAGTAACATTTCGAACTTAGCTCAGCCGGTAGGTTTCATGACTTGATTGGATCTTCGTTATCCGATGTTTTCAAGTATACTAAGATGGTGAACCATGAAACAAAGATTCTCTAGGGTCAAGACATGGGGAACACTGTTAGGAATTCACTCCCAAAGTAATAACCAAGATGCGCAGTACGAACGATCGTGAAATGCGCACCAGTGACTAGAAACAGTGAGGTCAACATTCAACACAATATCAATGTGAATGCTGAGTACATTGAATCTATGACCACCAACGAAACAATATTTAGGAGCACAAATATCCATACACCCAACAAATCACTTCAGAAATCATCCACCTCTACAGGGAAACCTTAAACTTAGCGTAAATGTTTATGGGTCGAAAACATAACACAGTCTGAACAACACTAGAGTCCAACACTCATGACTGGATAAGAAAAATGAACCATTGCTTTTTATGTGCACCAATCATTTGTCAAAATGTTGCTTTTGACAACCATATATATTTCGAAAGACAAATTAATGTTACAAACAAGATTCCTACGCTGTAATTTTATCACCGGTTTCTGATTTCGTCTTTTTCTTCTTGCTTTGTATTTTAACGGGCTGAGCTAATAACTCCTGAAGAAAATGATAATAAGGTTAAATTACATACCTTGATATCCTGATCTTTGACTTTCAGTTCAGATTTGTACAAAGAGGAGTCGAAGGGTAATCCAGTAACTTTCATTGGACCGTTAGGCATCAGCAGGACAGTAAACCTGAATTGAGCAACGAATTCCTCTGAGGGAGGGTTAGCAGGTGTTAACGCTTACCATCTTTTTCACAGTACACAGATAGTGGCTGGATAACACCATGTTTTATACACTCCGTTATACCGAGTCGAGCTTTTTTGACATCCTCCAAGGCACTAAATAGGTAAGTATATTTCAAAGGTAGTAGCTTACCGGATATTGAATGGGTAGGCCAAACATTTATTTGCAATCTCACTATATATTTCTAAAAGCGTAATTTTTAAGTATTTCTATACTAACGACGCGAAGCCTTCATTTTTAACTGATACAACGTTTCGTTCTTCTTGTACAGAGTTGTTCTTGCTTTGTGCTCTCGTGGCTTTCCGTCACCTGTTGACACGATAATATCTACATTCCATACGTCATTTGTATCAAAAGTGCACTTCTCTATAGTCTTTTTCTGTTCCTCTGTAGGACTAAACACAATGCTCTTTTCTGCGTCGTATATCAATCTTTTCATTTGATGGCACTGCATGCCTAGAAGAAATTATGAGAAACAGAAAAACATTACCTTCTACGGGATGACAGTTGAAATCTAAAGTAGCCTTCCCAACAACTTCAGAAGCTCTTGTATTCTGAAAACGTAATAAGTTACATCGGAATTTCAAACCTCGATATTCGGTCTAAGTGTCCGCAAGATAGCTTCTGCTGCGGTGTGTGCGGCAACTATGACATCTGCTTTTTTACCGGTCACTTTATTATTCTAGTGGAATGTTGTGAAAAAGAATCAAACCTTACCTGAGACGCTCCAACAACCATTGTATGTCCGACTATGGCAGCATAACCATCTACATGTGCACCAACATTACTGAAAAACAGTTAAGAAGCCACTCCAAATTACATTTTAACGAGATCTCCATTCTTGATTTCTACAGGATCGTTTTCTTCACCATCGATAGGAGAATAATGACACATAATGTTGTTTAAACTGATTGAAGTTGGGAAAGCAATGCCTGAACGGTTTATTACATGGCATTTATAAAATACCTTTTTTCATTTCTTTTTCTTTTTTGAAGAACTGCGATACTTTCTCGTTGATTCGTTTATCACCTAATTCACATAATTCCAAGATTGAAGCACCATCAACACAACGGTCTATCAACTCCAGTAATACCGCTATTTAATCATCACATAAATAACAGAATGATGCTTGAGCATACCATTAGTAACTTCTGCTGCCATTTTGTATTTATTAACAATAGTGTCATCAAGTACATCCTGCTCTATGTCGCTTTCCTGATCAGACATGCCAAAGTGTTGAAGTTGGAGTCAATTTGAAAACCTGCCGCACGATAAAGTTTTTTAACTAAGTAAAACAAACGTGGCGACATGTCTTTTAGCTCCCTTAGATTGAAATGAGGAGACGACTGACCCATTTAATTATTCGAATCGTGACATGCCACAGATATATGATTGTATTATTTATTTTATTGTTATTCCCTTGGATTCCGAGTCGAGCATAGTGCTTCAACAACACATCTCCACTATGTTCTATTCGGTGCTGTCCTCTTCAGCTGGGTACATGACTGCTCATGAACTCTCATCTCCCTCTCACCACATGATCTCCTCCATGTTACCCTCGCACTGACGACCCACTCGTCGCTTTCTGCAGGGGTTCCACTCGAGCGATGGTCTGGCGCTAACTCATTCAGCGGTCTACTCAACGTACATCTCCATTTTCTCCTATATACTTGTCGAGCGGTAGGCCCATTGTTGGTTTGTTCCCAGAGTTTGCTGTTACTAATTCTTTCTGGTCTGCCATTTGATCATCAAAATGGAGTCAGTGAAGGCAGCTATTGATAAAAGCATGTAACTTGTCGGGAATCCTCCTCGTAACGCGTAGTGTAAGTTTCTGACGCGTATAGAAGAACTGACTGACTTCACATTTGTGAACTCTGACAAATCTCTCCCGTTGATGGTGATTGGTACTGGTTGTTGTCGTTGTTCGTTGGTTATCTTCATCATCTCCATTTTCACCTGGAGTCCTGTCTTTGCTGCCAGCTTCTTCAGCCAGTCTGTTGGTTTTCGTCTGCAAGCCTTCGAGTTTGTGTGACGTTAAACATAAATCATCCACGCACGAAATCCAGATTTTCCAGAGTCTTCTTATCGGTGGTCCAACGTATTCCCGTCTTCTCATTCCCCACTCACAGTCTGACGCATAATCCAGTCCACTACAATTAAGGATATCATCGTGGGTAATAATAGCCAAGCAGCCTTGCCTTACTCCTATATTCACTTCGAACGCCTCACTGAGATTTCCGTTGTGGATCACCTGGCACGTGGTATTGTCATATGGCCAGCTGTCGAATGACTCTGACAAAAATTTGGGGCACGCCGTGGTGTTGAAGCAATTTCCGAATTACTTCTCGGCCAACGCTATCGAAGACTTTTTCAAAGCTGGTTAAACTGAGGTAGAGGTTCGACTGCCACTCTATGCTTTTTCCGATGACGATGCATACAGACGGAATTTGATCAGCACATTGTTTGCCTTTCATGAATCCACCTTGTTTCGGTGGGCGGAGTTTTGCATCCGGTACATCTTTTATTTCCTCCAGGAAGACGTCACTTAGTATTCCACTTGGCATTATTCCACTCCAGTTCTTGCAGAGGCCTTCCTTGGGATTGAGATGAGGTCTGTCTGGTTCGTGGTGTGTCCGTCAGGCGAAGTCCATGTTGCTTTGTGTAAATCCTTGTGCTTTCACACGGTGCTTCCGACCACTAAGTCACTGAAAGCGCAGACGTCTGTGAGGAGTTCTCCGTTCTCATTCGTTTCGCCCAGGGCCTCTCGACCCATGACGAGTTTCTCTACTTGTATTGTCCCGGATGGCGAAATCAACGAACCAGACAGACCTCATCTCAATCCCAATGAAGGCCTCTGCAAGAACTGGAGTGGAATAATGCCAAGTGGAAAACTAAGTGACGTCTTCCTGGAGGAAATAAAAGATGTACCGGATGCAAAACTCCGCCCACCGAAACAAGGTGGATTCATGAAAGGCAAACAATGTGCTGATCAAATTCCGTCTGTATGCATCGTCATCGGAAAAAGCATAGAGTGTCAGTCGAACCTCTACCTCAGTTTAACCAGCTTTGAAAAAGTCTTCGATAGCGTTGGCCGAGAAGTAATTCGGAAATTGCTTCAACACCACGGCGTGCCCCAAATTTTTGTCAGAGTCATTCGACAGCTGGCCATATGACAATACCACGAGCCAGGTGATCCACAACGGAAATCTCAGTGAGGCGTTCGAAGTGAATATAGGAGTAAGGCAAGGCTGCTTGGCTGTTATTACCCACGATGATATCCTTAATTGTAGTGGACTGGATTATGCGTCAGACTGTAAGTTGGGAATGAGAAGACGGGAATACGTTTGAACACCGATAAGAAGACTCTGGAAAATCTGGATTTCGTGCGTGGATGATTTATGTTTAACGTCACACAAACTCGAAGGCTTGCAGACGAAAACCAACAGACTGGCTGAAGAAGCTGGCAGCAAAGACAGGACTCCAGGTGAAAATGGAGATGATGAAGATAACCAACGAACAACGACAACAACCAGTACCAATCACCATCAACGGGAGAGATTTGTCAGAGTTCACAAATGTGAAGTCAGTCAGTTCTTCTATACGCGTCAGAAACTTACACTACGCGTTACGAGGAGGATTCCCGACAAGTTACATGCTTTTATCAATAGCTGCCTTCACTGACTCCATTTTGATGATCAAATGGCAGACCAGAAAGAATTAGTAACAGCAAACTCTGGGAACAAACCAACAATGGGCCTACCGCTCGACAAGAATGGAGATGTACGTTGAGTAGACCGCTGAATGAGTTAGCGCCAGACCATCGCTCGAGTGGAACCCCTGCAGAAAGCGACGAGTGGGTCGTCAGTGCGAGGGTAACATGGAGGAGATCATGTGGCGAGAGGGAGATGAGAGTTCATGAGCAGTCATGTACCCAGCTGAAGAGGACAGCACCGAATAGAACATAGTGGAGATGTGTTGTTGAAGCACTATGCTCGACTCGGAATCCAAGGGAATAACAATAAAATAAATAATACAATCATATATCTGTGGCATGTCACGATTCGAATAATTAAATGGGTCAGTCGTCTCCTCATTTCAATCTAAGGGAGCTAAAAGACATGTCGCCACGTTTGTTTTACTTAGTTAAAAAACTTTATCGTGCGGCAGGTTTTCAAATTGACTCCAACTTCAACACTTTGGCATGTCTGATCAGGAAAGCGACATAGAGCAAGATGTACTTGATGACACTATTGTTAATAAATACAAAATGGCAGCAGAAGTTACTAATGGTATGCTCAAGCATCATTCTGTTATTTATGTGATGATTAAATAGCGGTATTACTGGAGTTGATAGACCGTTGTGTTGATGGTGCTTCAATCTTGGAATTATGTGAATTAGGTGATAAACGAATCAACGAGAAAGTATCGCAGTTCTTCAAAAAAGAAAAAGAAATGAAAAAAGGTATTTTATAAATGCCATGTAATAAACCGTTCAGGCATTGCTTTCCCAACTTCAATCAGTTTAAACAACATTATGTGTCATTATTCTCCTATCGATGGTGAAGAAAACGATCCTGTAGAAATCAAGAATGGAGATCTCGTTAAAATGTAATTTGGAGTGGCTTCTTAACTGTTTTTCAGTAATGTTGGTGCACATGTAGATGGTTATGCTGCCATAGTCGGACATACAATGGTTGTTGGAGCGTCTCAGGTAAGGTTTGATTCTTTTTCACAACATTCCACTAGAATAATAAAGTGACCGGTAAAAAAGCAGATGTCATAGTTGCCGCACACACCGCAGCAGAAGCTATCTTGCGGACACTTAGACCGAATATCGAGGTTTGAAATTCCGATGTAACTTATTACGTTTTCAGAATACAAGAGCTTCTGAAGTTGTTGGGAAGGCTACTTTAGATTTCAACTGTCATCCCGTAGAAGGTAATGTTTTTCTGTTTCTCATAATTTCTTCTAGGCATGCAGTGCCATCAAATGAAAAGATTGATATACGACGCAGAAAAGAGCATTGTGTTTAGTCCTACAGAGGAACAGAAAAAGACTATAGAGAAGTGCACTTTTGATACAAATGACGTATGGAATGTAGATATTATCGTGTCAACAGGTGACGGAAAGCCACGAGAGCACAAAGCAAGAACAACTCTGTACAAGAAGAACGAAACGTTGTATCAGTTAAAAATGAAGGCTTCGCGTCGTTAGTATAGAAATACTTAAAAATTACGCTTTTAGAAATATATAGTGAGATTGCAAATAAATGTTTGGCCTACCCATTCAATATCCGGTAAGCTACTACCTTTGAAATATACTTACCTATTTAGTGCCTTGGAGGATGTCAAAAAAGCTCGACTCGGTATAACGGAGTGTATAAAACATGGTGTTATCCAGCCACTATCTGTGTACTGTGAAAAAGATGGTAAGCGTTAACACCTGCTAACCCTCCCTCAGAGGAATTCGTTGCTCAATTCAGGTTTACTGTCCTGCTGATGCCTAACGGTCCAATGAAAGTTACTGGATTACCCTTCGACTCCTCTTTGTACAAATCTGAACTGAAAGTCAAAGATCAGGATATCAAGGTATGTAATTTAACCTTATTATCATTTTCTTCAGGAGTTATTAGCTCAGCCCGTTAAAATACAAAGCAAGAAGAAAAAGACGAAATCAGAAACCGGTGATAAAATTACAGCGTAGGAATCTTGTTTGTAACATTAATTTGTCTTTCGAAATATATATGGTTGTCAAAAGCAACATTTTGACAAATGATTGGTGCACATAAAAAGCAATGGTTCATTTTTCTTATCCAGTCATGAGTGTTGGACTCTAGTGTTGTTCAGACTGTGTTATGTTTTCGACCCATAAACATTTACGCTAAGTTTAAGGTTTCCCTGTAGAGGTGGATGATTTCTGAAGTGATTTGTTGGGTGTATGGATATTTGTGCTCCTAAATATTGTTTCGTTGGTGGTCATAGATTCAATGTACTCAGCATTCACATTGATATTGTGTTGAATGTTGACCTCACTGTTTCTAGTCACTGGTGCGCATTTCACGATCGTTCGTACTGCGCATCTTGGTTATTACTTTGGGAGTGAATTCCTAACAGTGTTCCCCATGTCTTGACCCTAGAGAATCTTTGTTTCATGGTTCACCATCTTAGTATACTTGAAAACATCGGATAACGAAGATCCAATCAAGTCATGAAACCTACCGGCTGAGCTAAGTTCGAAATGTTACTGTTGCTAAGATTATTATGAAAGCTTTTTTGGAAACCCTAAGACACTGACTCTACTACGGGTATTGTCAACGCATACTGTGTGCTTTTTTGTAGGCACTGTGATTTTTGTTCTTCCCAGCTTTGTAAGAAGTGTATGGTATTAAGGCCTTGTTCCTCTATTAAGAAGAATGTTGCACTGTTATAAATACTGTTTTATAGTGATGTGTTCATGGTATTTTATTTCTCGACCTTTTTCGTTTCTGTCGGTTGCAGACTAAACGAAAGTTGATTCAAATATAATAGAATCGTGAGTAAGAGGAGGTACTTCGAAATGTAGATTCACTTTATTCATAGTTATTAGACTGTGTGTCATCGATTCAGTGATGGAATATCCATCAGAGACGAAGGAGCTTATAGTTGAATTTCCGGTAAACGCATTCTGCAACCACTCCTAGTGTACTAGCCGACAATTGGACTTGAAAAGGAGGAAGGTTTTGTCATGAGGTTAGCAACTCCACTCTGTTAAAAACCACATCATCGCCACTAAGACTTCTAAAAGACTTGAAGCTTATGTTCTACTCAGTAAGCGAGGATTGAAACAACAGTAATGCCCCATCGGTTTTACTCTAGTATAGATTGTGGTCAATGCAGAATTTTCTTGTTACTCTCAACGTTGGGTTTCAACTGGAACTAAACAACCTTGAAGCGTGGATTTCCAGTTACGACTGGTTACTGGTATTTGCTTCAATGTGGCTGTAGTTTATTTGCGTAGGCAGTCGAACTGCAACCTATCTGGCTATCAAGGCATAGGAAACAGGCAGGTTTTACAGGCTGTCGCACAATGATTGTAGTTCATCGACATCTGCGTAGAAATATTCACAAATGAGTAATAATATCAGTGAATGTCAGTTTGGATAAGAATTTATATTCGGTCGGTTTTCGACATAGAACTTTGCACATATGTGCGGCAGTTCAAGTCGCCACAATCTATGTAGCACGCAAAGCAAGAGAAGGAAGTAGAAGAAATGCATAATGGAAACAGTAAACAGAGGTGTGAGACAAAGGAATAGTAATAACGGAGAACAAAACAGTTTAATTGGAAATCATAAGTCACAAGGAGTGGATGCATCTGCGCCACTGAGAACGATTTTGAGCCATGTCACCAATTGTTTCCAACCATTGGTTTTTACCGTCCCGGGGACCCCAACCAGGAAGTCTACATCTTCCTACGTGGCTTAGATTAACTGTTGTAGATTTCATTGATTGGTGCCATGTTTTCGTTTGATCGCCGCTAGCTCTTTTCCAGCCTGGCCCTATATCAGCTAACATTGCCCGTCGAGGAAGGCGATGACTAGGCATACGTAGCACATGTCCTAACCATCTCAGTCGAAGTAATTTCACCGTTTCGTCGATTGATTTCCCCGCCTTACCTAGCACTCGACGCCTAACCTCAATATTGCTCACCTTATTATACCACTTCACGCGGGAGATAGAACGCAGACACCTATGATCGAAGACAGCTAATCTTTTCATGTCTTCTGCTCTCAATGGCCAGGTCTCACAGCCATAAAGGAGGACGGAGCGGACTGTTGAGCAGTACACACGCCCTTTGGTCGATAGTCGGATATCGCGTCTACGCAAGAGACGGCGAAAACTGGCGAATGCTATTCCCATTCGGGGTCTTTTACTACTTGAAAATACCCCTCTAGACCTAAAAGAACAATAATTAAGTGCGGTCCATCTATGAGGCTCGTCTGGATGCAACCACGATTATGTATAAAATCTTTTGTGTGTGTACATTCAGTCTATCGAACATGGTAGGAAAAATTTAGATGACGAGCTGACACCACTGAAAACTAGTAAAATTGCTGGACAGCTCTGTCGTCGTCTTAGTTTTGAACACTAGCAGTAGACACCATAACTCCACTGAGAATCGATGCCGGGAGCCTCAGTTTGCTAGATGAGCCAGTTGACCATCCAACCACTGAGACGCAATGTGATGGCCGACCTATGTATTCTAACTCCTGTTAATTCGATGTATATAAGGCCGCTATTATTTGAAATCGCTGACTGGTAACTGCTTGGTTTTTCGACTGATTGCAGTTTTTGGTCAAGCGTGAAATAAAATAAGCTACTGGTGATTGGTTTGAAACATTGTCGACGTCAGGAGAATATTTGAAATCAGTGAAGCATTATCAAACTGCGAGTATTGAAGTGAAGATTAGTGAGGTGTCAATAAAAGTAAGAGGGGGAAAATGTTTAGAAAATTTGGGCGATTATGTAAAAGCGTTGAGATGAGTATCAAGATTATTATGTAACACGTTAATAGGTTGACTTGGTTACTTAGGAAAATTACACTGATAACTGTCATAGTAAATTCAAAGCGGAAAAGACACCAGTAATGATAAATGATTGATGACAGTTAAGGTTGGGATTATGTCAAAGGTTGACAGAGTAGATGGGAGAGATTCTGTGTGCAGACACCGTAGGATTTGTCACATAAATGTCTAAAGCCACAGCAGTGCGAAGAAAATCGAAGCATTGGTTCTGGAAGGCTTTTATATAACGATTGTTTGGAGTTTCCTTAGGTATTAAGTGACCAGTGCTCAACTATAGCACTCCGTAATAACTCATTGTAGCCATGCTGGATATCCCTGAATGGGATATAGACACAGGTCCTCCGTCCCTAATTGAGGTTACTAAGGCTGTCACTAGTATGAAACGAGGCAAAGCAGCAGGACATGATGGAATGACTCCAGAGATATTTAAGTACGGTGGAGACAGTTTACTGTCTACGTTAACTAAGGTACTAGGCAGCGTCTGAGAATCAGAGGAAGTCCCGTCCGGTTGGTGTAAGTCATTGATTATCCCCGTATACAAGAAGGGAGACAAGTCTTCCTGTGATAATCACAGGGGGATTAGCTTGACTAGTATGGTATCTAAAGTCCTAGGCTCAATAATAATGCGTAGACTAAGTGGGTGCTCGGGAGGCACAAACACGAGAGAACCAGGCAGGCTTTAGACCAGGAAGAGGGTGTATTGGTCATATCTTCAACCTTCGACAGATTCTGGAACATAGGCGTACTTACCGGCGTCCAACAATCGTCATATTTCTTGACCTAAAGGCGGAATTCGATTCTGTCGACCGAGAGGTACTCTGGCGATGCTTGGCTGTAAAAGGAATACCAGGAAAATACATCACACTGATCAAGGCACTCTACTCGAACTCATGCAGCCAGGTGCCAGCTTACGGCGAGTTGTTATCTGAAATGATGATAACCAGTGGTGTCCGACATGGATGCCCACTCTCCCCATTTCTATTCAATTTCATGGTAGATGTACTAATGGAATTAACCCTAACTCACTTCAGAGACTCAGGGATTGACTTGTTACCAGGGAATAATCTCGTTGACTTAGGATGTGCAGATGATATAGTCCATGTAGGTGAAGACGCTGACAAAATGCAGTCTTCTGAACGCCTTGAGCTGCAATCTACGAATGTATGGCATGCGATTCGCTCCCGCCAGATGTAAGATGATGCTACAGGACTGGACTACGCTGACTCCTAGCTTAGAAATAGGGAGTGAAGTGGTAGAGCACGTCGACCAATAAACTTATTTGAGAAGCTGCATCAGCCAACGCCAGTGGGTTGATCGCTGACGAAATCTCATCACGGATACAGAAGGCTGGTTTCGCATATGCCAGTTTACGCCGTCTCTGGCGTAGACGTGATATCCGGCTATCGACCAAAGGGCATGTGTACTGCTCAGCAATCCGCTCCGTCCTGCTTTATGTCTGTGAGACCTGGCCATTGAAAGTGGAAGACATGAAAACGCCAGCTAACTGTTTTTGATCATAGGTGTCTGTGTTCTGTCTCCCGTGTGAAGTGGTATAGTAGGGTAAGGAATATTGAGGTTAGGCGTCGAGTGGTAGGTAAGGAGGGGAAATCAATCGACGAGACTGTGAAGCTGCATCGACTGAGATGCTTAGGACATGTGTTACGCATGCATCCCTTGTCATCGCTTTCCTCGACGAGCAATGTTAGCTGACATAGGATTGATCAGGTTGGAAAAGAGAAATCCAGAGGTAGTGGTAAAACGAAAACATGGCTTCATCAGTCAATGAAATCCACAACAGTTAGTTTAAGCCAACCACGTAGGGAGGTGTAGGCTGGCTTCCTGACTGGTTGTGGTCCTCGGGATGGTGAAAACCAATGGCTGGAGACAATCGGTGATATGGCTCAAAATCGTTCTCAATGCACAGATGCATCCAATCTTTGTGACTTATAATTTCCAGCGAAATTGTATTGCTCTTCATTATTACTATTCCTTTTGTCTCATAACCCTGTTTACTGTCTCTATTTTGCATTTCTTCTCTTGCTTTGTGTGCTACATGGAGTGTGGCGACTTGAACTGCTGCACATCGGTGCAAAGTTCTATGTTGAAACCAGTTAGTCAGTCAGTCCCTTACACAATAAGG